TGGCAGTTGGCTCTCAGCAGCAATTCTGAAAACAAAATATGGTGTTATTTATGAAAATACACTAGTGTTAACCAGTTCTAGAATGTGAATACGGAAGAGGTAAAAACATCTTTGATTTATGATTGTCTAGTAAAACACCATTATATGTGAATCTATTTTAGAAAATTCAAGTACTGGATGTGAACGTCTATTAGATCAGCATGTTTCAGCACTTATTATAACACAAGGTTTTTGTATAAGTTCTAGATATATTTTTCACATCATTGGATGCCTAAAAAGTTCAACTCGGAGGCTGCTCCAGAAAAATTATCCACTGGATCACAGTGTTTCATGACTATTTTTTGATTATTCACTAGTTTCAGAATATTTGAAGGAGGTTAGAGAAGATTCTCAGTCAGCTAGGGGCTTCTAAAATATGGTCTTTAAGGACCTAGGGACTCTTGTTATAGTACTGAGTCAACATTGAATGTTGATGTTGTCAGGAAACTACACTGGTGTCAACAAATTCAAGAACAGTATATTGAAAGTAAAGAACACAAACCAAGGTGTATAAAATATGAATATAAGCAATGTAAGTAAAGCAAAAGAACCTACAGTAGTTTCCAAACATGGTGTTTTGGATTACTCAGTTGTGGTGTTTAAGTTTGGCATTCCTGCAGGGGAAGAATGTATATGAAGATGCTATCTGATGAAATGCACTAGTGACATAAACAATTATGTACCAAATATGTTGCAAGTAAAGCATCCATGTAGAAACATTGCTGTTGTATCAATAAAAAATGCAATGCAAGTTCATGTGGTTTTTTGAAACAAGCGCATAGTTTTATAGCAGTATTTCTTAACTTGGGGTCATGGAGGATTTTTTGAAATCAAGATAGTTCCATTGAGAGTAGTTAACATTCCCAGTATCAACAATAAAGGATATATATATATTATATAGCTTTTATTTGCCCCAAGCATTTTGTCCTTAGAGTTGAATATTAAATTTATGGACACTGCAACATCTTTCTTCCAATTTTTTATTTGCAAAGTTCTCTACAAATGAACCAATAAAACAAATTCCACTTAGTTTATCAGGCCTTTCAGTTTTCAACTTCATGTTCAATGACTACTAAAAAATGAGAAAAAAGAAAAGGTTTGAGTCAGTGAATGTTGCTCTTATTTTAGATTCTGTAAGTGTTGTCTCACCAATTTTTCTCTTTGTTTCTTTACTTAGCCACTGTTTATGTTCCTAAGTCTAACTGTTGAGAGTGGGGAACTTTTCAAACTGATACTTTTGTCAGATGTATGTAAAAATATTTATTATTTAGCTTTTTTTAAAACTATTTGTATCTGCCTTATCTAGTTGTCACAGGATTTCAGCTCCATTTGCTCTATATGTTTATAGTATCTTAGAAAGTTAAGACATAAGAATCTCAGTCGTAGTCATACTTAGAATGTGCATGAAGGGGTCTACTGAAAAGGCTGGAAAACTGACACAGAGGTATGGTGCAGACTTTTTATTTTAAGCATAAAACATCCAGTATTCCATTAGTGGACTTGCTCATTACCGTGCAGTATAGTTAGGTCGAAAAGCAAGTACATTTTGTATTAATAGAAGTTTTGAAATAACAAATGTGGATCAGTAGCTAACAGGTAAAAGTCCCAAGTCTGATTGGTGTATTGGTGGTGTAAACTACCTTAAAGTACCAGCTGGGTATTCCTCAGTCCTGATAGTGTTTGAATTAAAATGTATTATTTTATTATATGTTGTATTTGCTATTTAAACAGTTACATGTAATATAAGAAAGAAATGCATTTTGTACAGTTTTCTCTTGCATAAATTAGTATTTTATATGTTTAAAACTTCCATTTATAATGTTCTTGTTGTAAGGAATCTGGACAAGTTAGCATGGTCACATTGTAATTTGAGTAGTTTAGTAATAGAGATCTTTAAGTTAGTAAGTGATTATATATAACTTATAAACTCCGAGATAATAATTTTTCGTTATAGTTGGTGTAACTAAAATCTTGGAGCATTTTTTGCCATTTAACTTGGCATATGTTTTGTGAAAGCAAAATGTTTTTGTTTATCATATTAACATATGCTAGTGAATTGAAATAAATGAACCATGTTACTGTTTATTAATAGTCGAAGAATTAGTCGTTGTTAATATGTGTAGTAAGTAAAATAAAGTAACATTGATTAATTTTTACTCCTTTATCTCATTCCCTAAGTTAAAAAAAATAATGACTCAGATTTGTTTTGTTTGTCAACTAGTTTAATTTTAAACATTGTGTTCTGACATAAGGCTTTTGGAAAATTGCATAGAAATTGTGGGACAACTTATGGAAAGACATGAAGAACATAAGAACACTTATTAGTTTAAGAATCTTAAAGTTCAGGGTCCAGAATTTTTTGCACCTGTTTGTTTCTTATTGTGAGCTTTAGATTTTATGTGTAACAGGTTTTTGTTATATTACAACCAGTTTATGTGAGAGTTTTGGCTGTAGGGGGAAAAAAGTTCATTGTTTTGGGATGTTTCGATTTATTTGATCAGTTTTATCTGATGTTTTTTTTATTATGATTGGACATGTTTATTATGTAAAGGTGATAAAATTGTTGACCAAAAGGCAGTATCTTAGTTAGTATGTAACATCTCATTGAAATATGTAGAAAAAAATGGAAATTTTTACGCCATTTTTGGTCAGTGGGGGATCAACAAAACAGATTTTAACATTTACAAGTAAGATGATCATAAAAAGTCTTCTTAGTATGTTTAACAATTGACTAACTGTAAGATAATTTCATTTAACTTATTACTGTGTTTGAATATTTTAATTTTTTAGTATTATTACTGGAGAACAAAATGTAATACTGAAGCAAAGAAAAAAAATGTTGGAATTTCCTTGTCATTTATCGTAATACAATATCTAAGGTTTTTAATATTTAAACTAGTTTTCAACAGAAAATTATCTTCATGATGTAAAAATATCTAAGCAATACAAGTATAGGGGTTGAAAAGGGGGGGGAGGTATAAGATAAAAAAAACTGTGTGAGCATAATTATAAATAACTATCATATTTTAAATATAATGTTAGAAGTGAATTTTGACTATTTAAAAAAAATTAATGTATATGGTTTTATTTCATACTTGTTGCATGCTCTGTAATGCGTGAAAATATAAAAAAAATCAATTTAATTTTATCCGGAGTTACCTTGGGTATCATACAGGTGACCCTGAATAACCACTATTATTGTCTGCTTTGTTTTTTTATAATTGTAAATAATATAAAACAAATCTTCCTATTGATGTTGATTATGCCAAGAATGTAGAAAATTTTTGACTGTCATTAACTCTAAAAATAAATAATTTATTATATAAAAATAAAGAAAACAGAAGGACAATCACAATTATAAAGTGGTAATTAAGCAATCTTTACGACTCAAATATATTATTGTGGAAATTCATTTTAAGCATTATAGAATATGTAACAGAATATGCTCAGATGTTCCTTGGCCTTTGACCCTTATTCTCTTAAACTTGTATTGCTCAGATATTCTGATGTATTAAGCACTATATGAAGGTTTTTTTTTGTTGTTAAAAACTGGTTTGAACATTTGAAACTGTAGATTTGATATGATTGTGAATGGCCAGGAAGTTCTACCAAACCCTCACCACGAGAAATGATGCTATAAAAATGGTCAAACATCTCAAATAGATTCATAATGTACATGAAATTCAAATTAAAATAACTTTTTATAACCTCATTTGTATATCTGAACAAAATGAAAATACTCATCATTTTTGTTTGCCCCCATTAATCTGAAATTGGTATGAATTTTTTTTTTTTTTTTTATGTATTTGAATGAAGTACTATTTGAATACTAACTGATATTGGCATTTGGTCACAGAACTTGCCAGTATTTCTTTCAATTGTTGGGTATTTCCAATTGTTTTTTTATTAGTTTTAATTTTTAAAATCTTCGTACATGCAGCTAAGGAGTTTTTTTTTTCTTTTTTAAAGTTGGCACTTTAAGAACTTGTTATTAATCTTTTTCATATGCATAATAAGATTTTGAAGT